AGAAAGAAAGAAAGAAAGAAAGAAAGAAAGAAAGAAAGAAAGAAAGAAAGAAAGAAAGAAAGAGAGCTTCCAGGTATGACAGAGTTCATACACTAAACCAGTCACAGACATCCAGGTGGCTTAGCTGGAACCTACAGTGCCCATCCAAGTTCCAGCAGAGTTATTTTCCCCTTCCAGAGATGCCATAATTTGTATTGGAAGACAGATCCTGTCTACCAGATGATGCTCGGTTTATGTTACTATACAGATGATTATGACATACCTCATCCACTGTGGGAATGTGACTGTGGTTCACACTTCAACATGTGTATGAGTGTTTGCCTATGTGTGTGTCTGTGAATCACATGAGTACTTGGTGTCTGCAGAGGCTATAAGAGGGTGCTGGATCCCCTGGAACTGGAGTTGTTGGTTATAAGCTGTCATGTTGGTGCTGGGTCCAACCAGGGTCCCCTGCAAGAGCAGTAAGTGCTCTTAATCACTGAGCCATCTCTCCAGCCCATGGTTTATTATGCTTCAAAAAAAATTACTGAATCCATTTGTCTGTGTGCTTGATTTCTCCATCATTTTCCCTCCACATTCAACTAAATTATTCTTTGATTTATATATCCCAGATCTGTCTGAAATCTTCTCTGGAAGTTCTCTAGAGCCTGCCTCTAGAGAAAGGCAGAGACAGACAGACAGACAGACAGACAGACAGACAGACAGCTAGCTCATGGCTGGCCTCTATTCCATATCTATCTATCCATCCATCCATCCATCCATCCATCCATCCATCTATCTCTCTCTCTATCTATCTCTATCTATCATCTATCTATCTATCTATCTATCTATCTATCTATCTATCTATCTATCTCTGCCTTTCTCTGTCTCTACTCCCTCAACTCCCTTCCCTATGCCCTAAATAAAGTGTGCCTGGTTCCTCAGGGGGAAGGGATCCCCTCAACATGGGGCCTGCAGAGGCACTCCCTCACCCCACACCGTACCCTGCCTCCACCAAACAGATCCCTAGCTTCTCTTTTATAGAGCTAGATGATAGATAGATAGATAGATAGATAGATAGATAGATAGATAGATAGATAGATAGATCACAACACAAAGATCTTGAGGCTTCCCCCAGGCCAGGCTCAGAACACTTGAAAAGTAGGAGCATAGTCTGTTTCTAGCTCTTCTGGAGTTTCCACCGCAGGGAATGATGGAGAAA